TAAAAGTATTGTTTTTCTATAAATATTTTTTTAGTTTGATTTGATACACATATAATTTAATGGGGTAGAATTTTTTATTTCCAAACTTAGTGGATAACAATTGTAAAAAAATGAGTGAAAACAATCCCACGGACAATGCGAAGGATTTAAGGTTATGTGAAGGTACGTCTCTTGTGAATATCAATTGATTGTTAGGTTTTCTCTTTTCTAATTGCCATTATTATTTCACCAAAGGCAGCTATGAGGGATATTAAATTACTTATTGCGAAATCTTTATTGCCACTATCCACTGCAGGTTCACAAGCTCTGGCAAACGTTACTGGTGAAGAAATTGATTATTGTGAGCGGCCTGTGATCCTTGCAGGAGATTTTAATGTGAATTTCTCGTTACCTGAAGCTGAAACATTATTAACCTTCCTTAAAGACAAATTTGGATTGGAAATGATAAATGGTAGGAATGATCCAACAACCAAAGGGGGAACTACCATTGATGCAGTTTTTGCAAGAAATATTGAAAAAATAGAACTCAAACATTTCGTATCTTACTTTAGTTATCATAATCCCATTGTAAATGTTATAGATTTGGATATTTCTCCACTCGAAAATGATAATTAAAAGATGCGATCAATTGTGAATTGTAAGCATTGTTAATAAAGTTTGTCTTAAAGAAACTATATGATTTCACTAAAAATCAATTTCTACCCCTTCCTATTTTCATTTCCACACTACGAAGTTTCACTTCTTCCGCGCGGAGGGACTCCACGCACTATTTTTTTTTACTCGCTGCTATACTTTTAAGGATATTATAAAACTATATGATAGACGGATCCCGAGGAAATAATTGCTAGATGTAATCAATCCCGACTCTTATAAAGTAAAGCTCGTTGATGGGAATATTTAATACGTATATGTAAATAAAATATAGAAATTTATTCCTAGAATACAATGAGTGGGTGTAGTGATAGAGAGGCAAGATGAAATAGAAGAGCTAGTATGAACAACTCTGCGAATTTTTCTATCTCAATGAGGTTAATTCGAACCAAATTGGTAAATAAAACGTGATTTTTGCAATTGATTTAACTAAGAGATACTGGGTTGCAAAGCTGAAAAAAAGTATGAATTCACTGAAAGTGATAAATCGCTTTCTGATGGGTGAAAAGAAGTGATACCTTTTTACCCATCATTAAAATAGGCCAAGTGACGTATTACGAAATTTTACATTTTACTTTGCAAATGATTTCATTTACTATATTAGTGTATTCGCAACATTGAAGAACTTAAAATGCAAAAATAACTTGTTTTAATACTATTTAAATTTCTAATATTTGAGAAAAAATGAAAGGAAAGAAGAAAACGAAAAGAATTTGCATAAATCAAGTAATCATTTGTTAATAAATGTTTAATGCATTTCGAATCGTATTTTTACAAAGAGGCCAAACAAATTTTTGTCGAATTCCATTCCTGCAAAGTTTTCATCATCTGTGTAACTACATACAGGATATCTCTGGTCCAGCCAAAAACTCTTAAACTACACAGAACAGTTCACCACTAATCCGACTTTCTTCTATATTGTAGTTGCTTAAAGCAACAAGACCTTTTTCTTTTACACTCACAACGTCTTGTTGAAACAAAAAAACGTCTTGTTGCTATTGACAACAAACGGACGATTTAAATCAGGTTTGAAGGAAAAACAATTTTTATTGAGCATTGGTATGAATTTCTGTAAAAGTACATTATTTTATAGTGTGTTTTGCGTCTTATATAATCTTTCTCAATAAAACTACAATTATAGAATTTCTATGCCAATATTCAAGGTAAATTTTGAACTCAGCCATTAGCCAATGTAAGTGTAAAGAAAGCATATATTTACAAAAAATGTCATTTCGTAATGATAAAACTGTTCTAACATCATGAAGTATTTTATTTAAAAAAATTTGATTTTTATAAAATTTATCACCCGTTCAGAGAATTAACGGATGCATTTTAGCTTTTTTTTCTGAGCTGAATATTTGCAATACAGGAATTAAAAGGGTTGCACATTAGTGATTTTATGTTCTAGTTTTTATTTAATATCCTAACCAGTTTCCGATTTGAGCTCTCGCATTGGGCGGTGTTGAACTTGTAGAGCTCTTTCCTTCAATGGATCATTAGTTTCATTGAAAGGTTCTTCCCTTCTGCCATTGTGTGGTGTTGAAACTCTAAAATTTTTCGTCAATAGACTTATAATTTTATTAAAAGGAATTTCTATTATGATGTACATGAGGAAGCCCGCGAATATTGAGAATAGAAAAAAAAATATGAATTCTCCAATCTGAAAAAGAAAAAAAAATACAATTTATAAATATGGGAACAATATGAAGTCCGAGTTAATCGTTTTGAATAAATTGAACTAATAAATCATATAAAGATAATAATTCAGTCTTGTACGATGTCCTATTATTATCTTAAATAAATATTTTTTATGAGTTAATTTATGAGTAAGTAAAAAGCAGTGAAATAGCTTTTACTGATATTTTCTTTTAAAAAACCAAAATACATAATTTTAAAAAAGTTAGTGCCTATAAATNACAATTTATAAATATGGGAACAATATGAAGTCCGAGTTAATCGTTTTGAATAAATTGAACTAATAAATCATATAAAGATAATAATTCAGTCTTGTACGATGTCCTATTATTATCTTAAATAAATATTTTTTATGAGTTAATTTATGAGTAAGTAAAAAGCAGTGAAATAGTTTTTACTGATAATTTTTTTTAAAAAACCAAAATACATAATTTTAAAAAAGTTAGTGTCTATGAATTTGAAACTTTTATTTACGTAATAAATCATTCTAAAAAGTGAGAGTATAAGACTTTATTTAAAAAAATTTCTTTTCCTTATTTTGTAGTGAATCGTATTTGCGAGCTAATGAAAAAAGTTAGATTTGAATATCCTAAAAAATTTAAAAGTTTCATGCTATTTTCGAAGTAGTTCTTGCACTTTTTAAAGCAATGTTCAAAATGATCAGGGGTTTTCCACAAATTTCATTTCGTATAATAATGCAAAATTAATAACAAATGATCATACCTTACAATAATAGTCCGGAAACCGATATGTGATGGTATTAGGAAAGAAAACATACTTTTACATACCAAAATTGGGCAATGATCCCCAATTTTGGGAAACGCCTGATTGTTTTGAGTTTTCTTTAAAAAAGTAGTTAAACTACTTAGAAAATTGCTTGAAACGTTTTAAATTTTCAAGACATTCAATTCAAACCTTTTTATTGGTTGCCAAATACGATTTACTACATTATATAAAAATGTCCATATCTCCTTAAATATTTACTCTAGTTTTACGCAATTTTATGCGATTGTTAAAAATGACAACTTAAGTAATCGATACAAATTACAAGCTTATTGCTTGATTTTCTCAGCATAGGGTGTTCAAAAATACTTGTTTTCTTTTGGACATGGAAAACTTATAAAACGTTACTTTATTTAAATATGGGCCAATACCCATTTAAATAAGAAACTTCCTCATTTTTTTTAGGAAATGAAATAACTCTATATCTATTTTTTTATAGATTATAATCATATCAGAATAATTCAAACGTCGTTTTTTTTACAATTTAAGTTTTTTGGTTGTTTATTTATTACTCAACAAATAAATGTCACAAGGGTAGCAGAATCATCTAAAAGTCTGCATTTTGTAAAAGACATTTAAATTCTTTTTTCAAACTAGTTATTTTCAGATTTAGTAAAGTAAGACATATTTTAAACTAAAAGTTGTATTCATATAATACGTAGTAAATGCCCTGGAATATTGTCACAATTACAAATGACAGTGTCATAAAGGTAACACACCAAATATTGTGTTTATATAAGGCATAGGTAAGGACCTGGAATGTTGTCGCAAGTATTACAATTAACAGTTTCATAAGAATAACACACCAAATATTGTATTTATGTAATACATAGAATAAGTTCTGGAACATTTTCAGAAGAATAACAATTGCTAGTGTTCCAAGATCAACTCACCAAAATATTGTATTTATATTAAACATAGTAAAGGCCCTGGAATATTGTCACAGGTATTATAATTGGCAGTGTCAGAAGTGTAACGCACCAAATGTTGTATTTGTATAATACACTGGTGAAATAAATTAAGAGAATTTGCATATTTTATCGAATTTCATAAGAGGAACAGAACTGAATGTAAAACCACTGCTTCTAGACAAGAATACAAATCTTGTACATCAAATGCGTAAGCGTACAAGTGTAAGTAGGAGGAGCCAGTAAAGAAGCAGGCTTTATAAGTGTGCGTAAGTTAATACACATTTCGTTCGCAAGCGCACATCCAAGAATTTCTCGGAGTTACTTTGCAGCAATAGGTTAAATTCAAATTGTAACAGTAAAAATGAGCAACCTCGAAATTTCAGATGATGGAAAGAGGTGGCGAATTGTGGGGAGGATAAAAGCAAGTCAATCTCAGATTTCTAGAGAGTGCAATTTAACACCCAGCGTCATATGAAACTTTTGGAAACAGTTCCAGGACTCCGGATTCATCGAGAGAAAGCCTGGGCAAGGTCGTCCAAGAGCCACAATTTCCAGAGAATATCGCTATTTGTCTTATATAGCGAGGTGTAACAAAGGGACTACAGCTTCTCAGCTCTCTCGTGACTTGTATGCAGCCACATGATCCCGTGTGTATCAAGGGCGACTGTTTCCAAACGATTTCGTGAGAGAGAAGACCTGCTGTTTGCGTCCTGCTCACTTCTACGAACAGGAGAGTCCGTTCAGTATGGTTCAGAGAGCTTTGAGATTGGAGTGTGGATCAATGGGCGACCGTTTTCTTTACTGATGAGTCCCGGTTCAGCTTAAACACCGATTCTCGCCGTACGTTCGTATGGAGAAAACCAGGGATCCACTACCTACCCTCTAAAGTTTGTGAAATCGACCATTATGGCGGAGCAGGTTTAACGGTCTAAGCAGGAATCATGTTGGATGGCCGCTCACCTCTCCATGTCTTTGACAGAGGCTCTGTGACTGGTATGAGGTATANTATCCATGTAGCGTCTTTCAGCATTAATAGCATCCCTAAATATCAAATATAAAGGGTGCACTATGTAAATGGTATAACTTATACGACTTAGTGGAAGGAATGCCTTCGAAGAAAGTATTTTGTTGACAACACCTATAAATAATATTTATAAAAAGTAGATTAATTTGTTTTGTACAGTGCGACAAAACAAAACAAAAAGAAAGTATCCAAAAAATTAGAATTCAAACAATGTAATAAATCCGCTGATAATATCATCAAAAACTATATTAAAGTATTGTTTTAGTCTCGGAATGCGGAATAAGAAATTCGGAATAATTGAAAATTAATTAAAACTTGTACAAATAAATGAAATTGGCCTCTAGTATATTTTTCAAATTAATTTTAATACGTTTGCATCTCAATTTAAGGTAACAATTGCTAATAATAATAGATAAATGTCCAATTGCTAATAAAAATAGATAAAAATCCCTTTTAAAGACAATTTAAAAGTTTTCCATTATCTTTAGCTTAGAGTTTACTTAAAAAGTGATTTTGATTCTTTTTTATTTTGGTCAAACCACCTTTACCGCGTTAAAAGAATGTTTTTTTAAAATTAAATTAAATTTTCAATATATTGTTTTAGTTGCTGCGATTCAGATGGCCTACTTACTGCGCTGTACTTAATATTTTTAAAAACCAAATTTCTTTATCTAAAATTAATAAAGCATTTTTCAATTTTTCAGCACAATGCAACGAGAATACACTTGAATGGCATCCTTCTATGAACGAAAAATAATTAATTTGTTGGTCACGTGTAAAACGTCTAAAATCCACAATTTGAAAATTTTTTATGAACTACGTAACATCTCTGTTCTATTGAAAATACAACTGCAAATAAAAAAACTTTTTGGAAGGAAAGATATAGGGAGAATTAAACATGTATAATTTATTGTGAAATATTAATTTAAGAATTTCAGTGCAAAGTATCCATAGTGGGACAAATTTGCAATGTGTGGAATATTTTCAAATTTTATTAAAATGAATTTTCTACAAAATGCCAGAACCAATATAAATGCATTAATACATAAACTTTCTAACTATGTTAAAAAATTGTGAGCACTGCGCCTCTTCCATTGTGGGTGTTCAATTTTACATTTCATTCTGTTCTGTTGCGATGAAGTTATAAGATTTAAGTGCAACAGCAAAAAGTTCGACGGCGTGTCAAAAAATGTTTAGGAAATACGACAGAAAAAAATCTCCCATCGATTCTTAGTTTGAACATTATTAACTGGTAAACTTGTAGTAAAAAATATCCAGAGAGAAGCTCCATAGCCCGTAGAAATATAACATGCCGAAATTGCCATACTTGCTTATAAATATAGCACCATGCTTCTTTGTTCTAATTTGTTCGAAAATCACTGCAATATTAAATGCTTTTTTTTTGCTATTTTCCCACACTTTTTTAAGACTTAAAAATTTGAAATTATTATAACGTGTAGAAAAGTATATAAGGTACAGGACAGGCGAATTTCAATTTGTTCGAAAGTCATTGTAATTATAAGTATTTTTTTTTCGCCATCTTTTTCACGCTTTTTTTACGTTACATTTAGAAGAGTTGCGGAAAAACTAGCGGACTTAAAAACTTGGAATCACATTGGGACTAAAAGAATGCACAGAAAAGACAGAAAAAATTAACATTGGATCATTAGTTCGAGAATTGTGAACTGCGAAACGCGCACGTAAAAAATACGAAACGGTCGATCTACATCCCGTAAAATTTGCGACGGAGTTAAAATGTTTCGTTATGAAGGAAATCTTTCCATTTTTGAACTTTGCATAATTTTTTTTTCTTTTGAAATACCAGTTTGTTTAAAAGTTATTACTATTTTAAGAGCTTTATTTATTTATTTTTTTTACTTTCAAAAACGACTATTTATCCATTCTAGAAAAAAATGCTTTGACTTTCTCCTGAAATGTTCAATTAATAAGCTCAAATTTGAAAAAAAAAGTGGAAGAAACTCACGCGTCAAATATAACAAAATATAAATTAATTAATCAATAAATTAAGAGAGAGAGAGGCCGTTTCCTATTTGAACTGCTATAATATAAGGCAAAAATGTTAAAGTAATATGCTTTTATTTAATCCGTATTTTCTTTGAAACTATTTCATCTTAAATTCGCGAACGTTAATTTCAATTACAAAAAATCGGTGGCATAAATTCCTTCCCTCACTTTGCGGCGGAAATTTCTAGACGTTTGTACAAACGGCTCTGGAGTTATAAGCAAGAAGTATATAATTTTCTCCCTTTTTCAATTATATATATGATAAAAAAATATTTTGTACCTCCATGACCAGCCTCACAGGAGTATAGTATCCAACTAGTTATGAAAGCCATGGCAGGAACTCTAGCAATATTATAGAATGTAGTAATTCTCAGGTCTTTTATGGGTAAAAATACTGAGCCTGTGACTGCGATGAAGCACAGTATGGAAAAAATCCATCCAGTAATAACCCAAGTCTATGAAAAATGAAAAATTAAATGACATATGAAGGAACATTAATCATTGTACTTAATTGATGCAAAATGATATTCAGTATTAAACAAAAGTTTTAATCCGAATTTTAAGTTGCACAAAAGTTTTAATCCGTTATGCAGAAGTAAGCATAAGCTTTAAGCTGAATTTGATGTTATGCAGTAGAATGCTTAATTTTTAAGCCGAATTTGATGTTATGCAGTAATAAGCAAAAGTTTTAAGCTAAATTCAACTTTGGTAAATAAATTTCAAAAGGATTTTGAAATTATTGATGGAATAAATCAGTACTAAGTACACGATATCCCTAAATTATTGTTTAATACCTTACAACTCATCATAAAAGTGGAATTTGGCAGGCCGATTTCGATAAAGATTTCTGTCAAATATAATCTTAAATGTAAGTTTTTTTTTTGTCTCAAGCAAAACAGAGCTTAGTTTGCTATAAATGAAAATCTATATTTTTTATTATTTATTTTTTGCCATATTTTTCATTAGTTCTTGGGACATTTTCGTTCTTCATAAGAAAAAAGTTTCAGATTTAAGTGCGTTTCTTCCTAAAGACATTTTACTTTAAATTTTTTTTAAATAGCTGAACTATTTTAAGAAATTAGTGCTCAAATATGTCTGGTGAATTAGGTCTAATGACGCACAATATCCATATATTTCTGGATTCAATTTGAGTTGAGAGGAAAATAATGAATTTTGAAAAGTAAACGAATGGCATGCTGACTTTCACTTATTACAAAAATATTAATAAAAACCATTCTTAACATGATATGATATGTGGATATTTGTTAATAATACGCCTAATACAGATTAAATTGCGTTTAGCTAAAAAAAATATTTTCAAAATATTTTAACTATTTAACTGTCTGCGTAATACAGGGTGTTTATAAACTCCCGGACCCATTTTGATGTTTTATAACTCCTAAAATAATAAAGATAGATTGAAATTAATAGCATAAATGGTTAGATAGACTCAAAATGTTTCATAACCCTTGTCAATGAACTTCCACGTGTGCCCCCTTCGTCGCACGGAGACACGGAGAATATCAAGTCGATAGTTAATTTCACGCCAGGTAGCGGCAAGCATGTTGTCATCCACAGAGGCTATTGCGGTTGTAATTCTGGCTATATATTTATAACAAGCGTTTTTCTGCCAAACCTGTAGACCCACAAACTGCATCTCCACCAAGTGAGAGAGCTCAAGATGCAGCTGTTTTCCAAGTAACGGGTGTGGACTTTGCTGGTCCTGTGATTTTGAAAGACAATTCAAAGGGCTGGATATGTATTTTTACCTGTGCCGTTTATTTTACAGGGAGTGGACAAGCTGTTAAAAGGGCTTGACAAACTATATTTATAAGAACTCCATAGTGATTTAGAACTTTAATTTTTATTTCAAATTCTTGTAAAGTGTCATTTTAACATAAGATATCTTTAAGTTATGTAAGTTAACTTTGTTAATGTTGTTAACTTAGGTGGGAGGATGTGANGTTACTTTTTCATAGCTCGATACCTATGGAGGATACTTAGATCAAAATATTTTTCAAGTTCAAATTAATTGACCGTGGTTATTACCACTACAATATCTAAATAACTATTAAAAATTAATAAAAAACAGAAAAAAATTAAAAATAAATAAATTTATATATATGTAACTAGACATTTCACGAACTACATTAACAAATAAAGTAACTATAACAACTAACTATTCTATTCCTAGAAGCTCTATTCGTACTCTATTCTACTATATTCTAACTACTCTATTTCTTATATCAAATTTTGGGTTTATTATTACTGAAATAAAGTTGATAAATACTTTTCCAAAATAGTCAGATAGGGAAATTTTAAAAACTTTGCTAGCAAAGAGTTTTAACTGATAGGAACATTATTTTTTTAAAAATAAATAAATAAAAAAAAACGAGTAATTGTAGGCAAAATATATTAACGTGCGTTAATTTAACTATTTTACTCCAAGAAGTATAAGACACAACGTCTTTGATAGACGTTAACAAGTAGGGAGGCTAATAACTTGAATCTTTGAATGTAATAGTGTTTTTAAATCTTGGTGAGAGAGGTCAAAATATGACAAATTTTTATATGCCATTTTGAATTAAAAAAAAATACACGACGATGAGCTCAACAAAAATTAAGCTAATTATACTAATATTTAGTTAATCATTTTTTCCTTACATTGTTATTTGTTACACATATTTTTTATCAGGTATATTTTATATATCAGATATATTCTATAGATCAGGTATATTGGTATATTTTAGAAAGGCATAGGCCCACTTCGGGATTTCAGTTTTCAATAGCTTGTTATATTTCTATAAATTTGAAATTGTATAGAAAATAAAATAAATAAAATAAATAAATAAAATAAATAAATAAAATAAATAAATAAAATAAATAAAATAAATAAAATAAATAAAATAAATAAATAAAATAAAATAAATTATAGTGTCTAGGTGTTAACAAATAAAATTAGGAGTATAAAGTTTAAATAGGACGGTTACTTGATTATACAATTTACAAATGACAAAAATAAAAAATTGTAGTAAGCATTTTAAACTTAGTTACCCATCCTTAAATTAATTTTTAAAAAATTTTAGCTTTTTTTTGTGTGTTCTTAGGAAATATACGAGTAGCATACATAAAGAAATAAAACAACAAAAATGAATAAAAGAATAAATGAATATAAAAAATAATAGTGCCTAGACAGATAAAAATAAATAGTATAAAATTTAAATAGGATTGTTACTTGACTATACATTTAACAAATGACAACAATATATAAGTTACAATGCTGTGTAAAATATTTTAAGATAACGCAATTTAGTATTAATAGTATATTAAATAAGTAGTGAATAATTAGCACTTATTATATAAATATCAATGGTATTCAGAACCAGCTGCTGTTAATGTTTTTGCTCTCAGTGTTTACAAAGTGCCCAAACAAGTGCCTTAAGATATTATACTCACTTTAGGTAGCTTTTGTTTTCCATATTTAAGACAGACCCAACCAGAAAGCATTCCAATTAGTTGGGCGGGAAGGTGGAACGATTGATATAAATAAGTTTTTTTTGTTACTTCTTCAATAACGCTAAAAAAAGAAAAAAAAATTGTATTTATCTTATCTTTTGGTAAATTTAAGAGTAAGTCATTTTTGTTGGTAAAATAAATATATAAATTTAAATAACAATTTATAAAATATTGTTTCTTCATTGCCTAAACGCAGTCAATATTTCTTTGTAAATAAGTACAACTCTTCAAGTAGAGAGTTTTCAAAAGCTAAATGTTTTTAAATTGTCTAATAATATAAATTCGAATTTGGTTGTTTGTAACCCTTACTGTTTTTAATAATAATAATAAGAAAAATATTTTTCAACTTTCAGAATTTTTTTCTTCACATTCCAAAAAATATTTTTTAAGAAACTCGAGATTAATAGCAATAATAATTAAAACCGCTCATCTTAGCTTTTGGGGAAATAAATTTCCATATATAAAAAAAGTTAACGCCTTTTCTCTTTTTGGTCAAAATTAAAGTGTAGCGTTTAAAACGTAAATATTGCATTTTTATTTTAGCGCCATACCAAAAATAGTAATTGGAACTTTTAGTAATTGGAACTATATTTTTCCCTGATATAGTTAGAAATAAAACAAATCACATCGTTACCCTAACTAACTGTAGGAGCACTTATATCCACTTCTGATACGCGTACACATAAGAAAGTCGTTTGCAAACTTAATCTGACTTTTCAAAATATCTGTGTTTATCATCTAATGATTCTGTAAGGATAGTTTTTGATGTAGAGCTTTGTTCGAGCGGAAAAGATGAAGGAAAATGGTTCAAGTTAGAGTAATGAGGGAACGAAATGTTGGTTTTGAGAAAAGATGTTCAGAGGATTTATTTTTTTAAAGAAAAAGTTGCTTTGATATAAGAAAAGATGGTCTGCCTGGAATTGTTAAGACTGCTGATCTATGCTCTATCTTTGGCATGTTCTAAATTCAGGTATGATCTGCTTTTATACTTTCCTCTTAAAATTAAATCTTTTTTTAAAAATAAAATTCTTCCTGTTTATCGTAAATAACTTATTTTCCAACAAAGTACCACTGGGACAGAATGTCATCCTACCTTTTTGCTACTTTTAACGACTAAAAATTACTAGCTATCATTATTTAGTGTTAACTTTTGATCACAATTGTACCCTTGACAAAATGCGTCTAAAGTATAAAATCTGACATAATTTGCACTCTATTTCATTTTTTTATCACTACCTATCAATAGTGTAGCAATATTATAACCACTGGCGTGGAGTAAGGAAGCATACTTTAAGAGAAACTTTGCTAAGTGCAGTAACCGACAGTGATCAATCTGTCTCTCTTCTAATATCCATTTTTTCAGACAATTTTGAAGTTGTTGTTACAGCTCTGTAACTTTAGTTAGATAAAGAATCTCTCTTTACTTTTTCTCATTGAACACATTTTATTGTTGTTCCTGTTTTTAACCAAATAAATACTTTAATTACATTTTGTATACTAATATTAAATGTTGGGAAATCATCTTAAAAATTGGTATAAAAATCTGATTAAATATTACTTGAAAAATGAAAACTTTCCTAAAATTTGGAAACCAATTAAGAAATGTCAAGAAAACTGGATTGCAGAGTATTGTAAAGAAGAAACGTTTTGTCATTGAAAACTGCATTAGAATTATGTCAGGTACATTGATTTGGTGGTGAGGTCTTGTGAGTAAGGCGTCATTCCGTTATCTTTTCTCATATTTGAGAGAGCTTTTTCTAGTAACGAAAGTTTGACAGTAATTACCAAACGAGAACCCATAGGGTTGAAAAAAATCATTTAAAAATATTAATAAAACATTAGACTTACTGGACAAATATGACTGAGTTAAATGACAGAAATGGATATTGGAATTTAAAAAGTTGATAGCCGTAATAAAAACATGGTACAAAAAACAAAAGCAACCCCATAAATATTCCAGCTTTGGGGTACCTACAAAAAAATGCATTTGTAAGTCAGATGAACGAAATCAAAGTAACTTTATCAGTAAAAAGAAAAAAAGAAGGCAGAGAGAGGAAATAAAACACAAGATATTTTAAGTGCCACATGAGACATGTGCTCAGAATAATATACGCTGCTAACTTGATTGAGGAATTACGTTAAGGGTTTAAAATAGCATTTAATTTTTTAAAATCTTAGCAACGAAGTAGAAATTTCAAGTCATTAATTGAGTTTGAAATCAGTGAGTGAATAGAATACATAAGTAAAATCTTGTTTTTAACTGCATCGTTTCAAATACGAGTTGAAGAGTAGTTTATGTGTAGCGGTTTGAAATGGAAAAAAAGTTGAAATAAAAAATATTACTTTATTTTAATTCTAAAATTATTCTCTGTTTTTCCTTTTTTGTTGCTGGATTAAGTTAGTTTTGATTTAAAACATAATAATAAAAGAAGCTGGATCATACCCGTAAAAGAACAAATTTTTGATCCACAAAGTTTAGAGCTAGTTAATCCTCTATAGTCTGGGTAGCGGTTTTTTACGGATTTTTTTTATCTTTGACGAGGGTTTTACATAAGATTTATTAATCCATTTACATATATTGAATGGATTTTAAGGAATTTTATGATAAAAATTTGAATAAAGTGGTATTAAAAAGCGATAAAAATGTATTTTTTAATTGAGTTCATGAAAAATAAATTTAATTAGTCACCATTGAGCATCTTAATCTATAGTTGTCCCAAGCAGAAGAAAACAGTCACTTAGTTCAAATGTAAACGTATCATCACTTTTCAAATGGGATTACTTTTCTCACTACAGCAATATACTGGGTTTAAAGTCACGTACATCAAAGTTTAACTGTCTGAAAAGTACCGGCTTTACTTTTTAAAATACCGTTGTTTATGCAGTATGTAAAAAGACTCTCATCTATCTCCGCAATTTTGTTCGGACCTCCTATTTGCTTCGATTCACCTTGTAGAAGGCTATGATTGGATGCCCCCTTTTGCTGTGGGCCTTTGACTTCACGCTACTGGTCTACTGTAGTAGGTAGGTTTTTCACCTGGATTATATAGAGCGTTCCAGATTGATCGTAGAAAACTCATTTATGGAAGGAAATCATTGCGTGCTTTGAATTCTATAATTAGTTTATGGCAGGTATTGCTTTTCGCGCAAAATCACTTATATCTACCGCCTGTAATCTGAGAGATTTCAATCGAGTTCTCGTTTCTTCCTCGGTGCTTACATCTTATGTTACAGCACTTGCAAAGTGTACTTATCTTGAAAATAATTCTTGAAACATAAATAAAAAATACTGATAATTAGAGTAAAAATTCTACCTGTAAATCGCAATCATCAAAGGAAGGGAAATTACCAAATGCTGCATTATGTTAGCAATAAACCAAGTATGCACCATACACTGAAATAAAAAGCAAAACTTTGTTTAGAAATTACAAGTTAATTTCAAAAGAACACTAAAAATATCTAATTGCGCTATAAAGAAGGTTAAAATGTAAATGTAAAAGTAAAGAGTAAGATATATTTGTTTTTTTAGGTAGGCCAAAAATTACTCTTTTCTTTTGAAATCGCTTTTGTTCTTGTTAGGATGTTTAAGTATAATAAAAATGGTGGAATGTAGTTTTTAAATGAGAAAATATTTTTTTTCTAAATGCATTTCATTCCGGGGAAAATATAGCACATTTTGATTAGAGTGAGTACAAAAATTATTTTTTTGATATTGTATAGGATTAGTTTTTTGATATAGGTTTAGTAGAGGTCGTCCTTGTCCAACCATTGAAGCGGACGACCGATGTATAATCCTACAGTCTAGAAGGCACAGACGGCTGACATCAGGATAAAACGCTTGGCCCTCACTGCAAAATACTAGACACCCCGATTTGCTTTACCGTGGTCAGGAGACTAAACAAGGGTGGTCTATTTGCATGACGGCCAGTAAGGTGTTTTCCATTAACGCCAGTCCACCGGAGATGCCATTCAATGTTGTGACAGAAACACTACAACTAGGCAGATGCACAATGGGGTCGAGTTCATCTTCACGGACGATAATGCTACGCCTCATCGTACAGTGGCTGTCTCAGAACTGTTGGAGAGTGAAGAAATTGCGCCTGGAATGTCCGGTGAGGCTAATGGATTTTAATCCGATTGAACACGTGAGGGACACTCTAGGGAGACGCTTGGCAGCACGTCCCCAGCCGTCAGCAACAGTTCAGCAGCTGCAATTAGCACTGTAATAGGAATGGACAGTGATTTCTCAAGAGCTTCTTAGTAACCTAGTCCTCAGCATGAGCAGACGCTGTCACTCCCGCATAGCAGTCAGATTTGATCAAGCCCCATATTAAAGGCGGAAATTTCCCTGACAATCCCGTTTTAAACCTATATTTCAATAAAGTTCCTTCTTGTTACTGTGGAAAACATTTTTGCAACTTATTTACTTTCCCATTTTCACATTTTTAGGATCCTATCGCATGATTTTTTTATCGATTTTCAACCCTGCTGTTCACACTTGCATTTGAAAAACCAACCTCGAACTTAATTTTCGGACATCAGAGTTGTAGTAAGATACAGGGAAATTGCTATTATTAGGAAAAAAATAATGTTTGTTTTTTAATGAAATATTATCTTCGGCCTTAGCACCCACTTGAAATGTTCCAGGTGTAAAAAAATAAAAAAAAATAAATAAGTTGAAATAAATAAATACAAGCGCTTATCAGTTTTATTATTTATGCATAATACCAAGAAATTTGTTGTCAGAGACTGNTTTAAGTATAATAAAAATGGTGGAATGTAGTTTTTAAATGAGAAATATTTTTTTTTTCTAAATGCATTTCATTCCGGGGAAAATATAGCACATTTTGATTAGAGTGAGTACAAAAATTATTTTTTTGATATTGTATAGGTTTAGTTTTTTGATATAGGTTTAGTAGAGGTCGTCTTTGCCCAACCATTGAAACGGACGACCGATGTATAATCCTACAGTCTAGAAGGCACAGACGGCTGACATCAGGATAAAACGCTTGGCCCTCACAGCAAAATACTAGACACCCCGATATGCTTTGCCGTGGTCAGGAGACTAAACAAGGGTGGTCTATTTGCATGACGGCCAGTAAGGTGTTTTCCATTAACGCCAGTCCACCGGAGATGCCATTTAATGTTGTGCCAGAAACACAACTACTGGGCAGATGCATAATGGGGTCGAGTTAATCTTCACGGACGATAATGCTACACCTCATAGTACAGTGGCTGTCACAGAACTGTTGGAGAGTGAAGATATTGCACGCATGGAATGACCGGTGAGGCTCCTGGATTTTAATCCGATTGAACACGTGAGGGACACTTAGGGAGACGCTTGGCAGCACGTCCCCAGCTGCCAACAACAATTCAGCAATTGCGATTAGCACTGCAATAGGAATGGGCAGCGATTTCTCAAGAGCTTCTTAACAATCTGGTCCTCAGCATGAGCAGACGCTGTCAATTCTGCATATGCAGTCAGATTTAATCAAACTCCATACTAGAGGCTGGAATTTCCTTGACAATCCCGTGTAACATTGACATTTTGGTCATTTGTACAATTGCGTTTTAAACCTATATTTCAATAAAGTTCCTTATTGTTACTGTGGAAAACTTTCCCATTTTCACATTTTTAGAATCCTATAGCATGATTTTTTATCGATTTTCAACCCTGCTGTTCACACTTGCATTTGAAAAACCATCCTCGAACTCAATTTTCGGACATCAGTGTTGTAGTAAGATAGAGGGAAATTGCTATTATTAGGAAAAAAATAATGTTTGTTTTTTAATGAAATATTACCTTCGGCCTTAGCACCCACTTGAAATGTTCCAGATGTAAAAAAATAAAATAAATAAACAAGTTGAAATAAATAAATGCAAGCGCTTATCAGTTTTATTATTTATGCATAATACCAAGAAATTTGTTGTCAGAGACTGATTTACTAACCATTAAGAATAATAATGTATTAGTTTGTAAGCAATATATGTTCGAAATAGAATGCTATAACATTCCAATACCCAAAAGTTATTTGAAGAAACTTTTAATTTTTGAATGAGAAAATAGGTGTAAAAGGAATGATTTCTTAGGACAGGTCGGCGTCAGTTTGAAACGAACGCTTACCTCTGATTGTTCAATTAGTGAGTTTGACAACATACGTCATCGAGCGCTCTGCTTAAACGACAACTGCCGTCCAAATCAACTGCAGTTGGATTACAACGTGACGTTAACGATAGAAGCAACGGCGGACAACTGCCAACAGAACATTGAAATCAGCCAAATTTTTGATTTTAACATTAAACATAGCTTCTTCTTCCTCTTCTTCATTCAGCTAAGCTATAATGTGTTTTTCCTTAGACAAAGTCATTATTTGTTCTCTAAAACACTGGTCGACGATAACCACCTCATATATATATATACATATATAAATGAGTGTGTTACTGTCTGTCTGTCCTTTATAGACTCCTAAACCAACCAACCAAATGCTATGAAACTTGGCATACAGATAGGTCACTGTCGACATTAGAATATTCTGCGAAAAGCTGTTCCAGCTGCATGAACGAAAATCGAAATGCAATTTTTAGATTGATTAAAAGTTAACCATTGTTTAAAATTTTGCTCTGAACGATTCAGTTTTCAAGTATCTTGAAGATAACAACAGTGATAATTTCTACCTTATAGCTCTATTCATTTAGAAAAGTAAATTACATATACTTTAATATTTAACTATAATTCGCGCAAGATTCTTTACGCAAGGTGAGCACAAGCACGTAAAATCAACGAGAATAGATTTCTTAATTATTGGTCGTATCACGGATTTAGTATTGTGAAAACTATTTAATAAAAATAAAGGCAAAAGCAAATTTCACGTTTTATATAATTACTAGGAGGCTTCGCCCCCTGCTCGCTNTAATAAAAATAAAGGCAAAAGCAAATTTCACGTTTTATATAATTATTTATATTTAGTATGCAATTTTAGGTTAGTGCAGTTAAATATAGTTTTTTAAGTTTTCATTGCTGACAGTTATCATTTGAAAACTATTAGATTGTTTATTATTACAAAGTTTTCGAATTCACATTCATTTTATTTATTTCATTTAAAAAATAGATTTTTGTTTTGAATTTTACCATTTTTATATTTTTTATTTATGACATTTTTATTGCTCTTTTTATTATTTGAAATATATATGTGAATTTTCGATTTAGCAAATTTGCGACCACTGTCAACTTTTACATTTCTTTTTGCTTGAGAGAGAATATTTGCAAAAACATACCACCTAAACGAATCGCTCTTAGTCGATCGACATATCAAGCACGCAAAAAGAGGACACCCGAGTTTCAGAAACATCGGAGGAACGGGAAAAAAAAACTTGAAACTAATTGAGAAAACAATGTTTTAGCCCGTTCCTTAGAAACGTCTGAGCAACAGGAAAGAAGACTGTTAACGAATCAATTACGGACTACTCAAGCCCGATCGTTGGAAACATCAGAGTAACGGGAAAGAAGACTGTTCACAAATCAACTGCGCACTATTCAAGTACTAACCGGATTTATTTACTATATTTACATGCAATCCTGCTTGGGATGAAATTAAGAGCTTTTGTTACCAGGACAATCATCATCGGATCGTCAGGATATTACAGCACGTGTGTTCAAACAAAGATTGAAATCTTTACTTGATTTCATTGTGAAGCGTCATGTTTTTGGAGAGACACGGTGTTGGAATGGCAAAAAAGAGGATTGCCACATGCACACATTCTGATTTGGCTTATTGAAAAAAATCACACCATGTCAAATTGGTCAGCTCATATCAGCAGAAATACCTGAAGTCGCCATTGATCCAAACTTATTTCATATCATCATCCAAAATATGCTTCATAGTTCCTGGCATCACCATACATGTCTGTTTTAAAACGGACTAACGATATCCTAGAGAATTAAGTGCTGAAACTATCACTGGTTTTTTTCTCCATTAAATAAAATTCTCATTTCAAATCATAATTGCAAATATCATTTACACACTTAAATACAAAATTAAAATTCAAACTGAAAGCGTTGCAACGTTCGCAGGGTAAAGCTAGTTTAAAATAAATATTTGTATACGTTATTAACGCATGCGCAATGCGAGATAATGTCTGCGCTGGACCGACTGCTCCCGATGAGCTAACAAAACAGTATTTTGTTGGCGTCAGGGTAATATCAACTTAACGCTGACGCCCAGATATGGCGCTTGTCTTAAGAAACCAGGCCTTTTAAGAAGAAAAATGCGGACATAATGAATCCACATTCCTTTGGTACTCATAAATCTTTTCCGTAGCTTTTATCGAATTGCACGAAACGTTGAGTTGACTGGCACGGTCATATATTTTCTTTATTAAATACAAAGGATTTAAATGTGCAGAAGTGCACATAGAAATAAACTTATAGTTCGCTTCAAAAATAATTGTCAAAGGGTTATCTAACATACCAGCGAATAAGGTTAAAGTGCCCTTATCATTGAAAATTAAATAATAACCAAATGAATACATGATCACGCTGTAATACAAATTTGTAATGGACGACAATTTAAATCACACAAACATTGGAAAGTTATTGGCATTCTTCTAACGCTTGTCGTTGTCACGTTAATTTGATAAATCAGCACCCTAATTACTCCTAATTACTCAATTCTGCGTGATTGCCATTTGCAGACTCATACATAAATTCGTATCTGATTTCTTTGCATTCGAATATTGCTGCGTATCTGGCTATAAATCGTGACACTACACCTAGTTTTTCAATAAACCAGTCTCCAGAATCTGCTGATGCCTCCGATGATTTTTATTCCTCATAAATAACTCTTTCTAACAAGAACAGCAGTTTTGAAAGCAGCAATTTTTAAAAAAAAAATGTGTTTCTCGGCCCACCGTCTCGTTTACTCACGATTTCATTCAAGGCATCATAATTTTGAATTTGCATCACATTTTTCCAACCATTTTGGTAACAATTTTCAAATTCTGATTCCCAAGAAGATTTCCATATCGGACCCGAACTCAATATCGGCAGGATTAGAAAAAGTAGCGCTGCTGCAGCTATTTGAAGATTCAACCTGCAAAATAAATACAAATAAAATAAAATAAATAACTAAATAAAATATAAATATTTGTTTTATCAAACTTATTGAATACAAAATTCAAGTCCAGTGACACTTAATGAAAAAATAAAACATTTTTAAATGAGATTTCTAAAAATGTATATTTTTCTCACAATATTAAAGGAAAGTAAGCAGCAACGCCACTGTTTTTTATGTGATTAGCTTTGTGTTACATTTTGTTTTGTTATGAAAAAACTATAAGACTTCTAAACTTGAAATTACGTTGATTTGTAAAAAAATGAATAGGGTGCATGATGAAAAAAAAATTGACATTCGAGATACATCAACTAATAAACTGTTAAAATTGAGATAAAAAAGTTCAGGTGGGCTGCTTTGCAGGCCACAGAAACCAAACTACTGAATTGGATTTTGATGTCTTGAAAGAGATATTTTTATTTATGAACTTGAATTTTTTCTATATTCTAATTTGTTTGGAAGTTGTTGCAGTTTTAAGTGATATTTCGCGAACATTTTATACATTTTTTATTTGACGTTACATTTAGATTTTTTACACGAAATTGAAAAACTTAGAAACTTGAAATTGCAAAACTTTATAGAAAAATGCACATAGAAAATGTACAACAAAAATGTAATGTTCAATAATTATTAAATGTTAAACTTGAAATAAAAAAAATACCATGTGAACCTCTTTTCATTCCTCAGAAAAGCCACTACAAAGTTAAAATTTGAGATGTGGAAAGGGCCATTTTCATTTATGAACTTAAGACGAGCTTTATTGAACTATTTGTTCTAAATTATATAATGTTATATTAGTACTAATTTGTTCAAAAGTTATCGCAATTTTTGGTGATATTCCTTCCTTTTGTTTTGTTTTAAATAATAAATATTCATTCATTATTGAAGAAAAATTTAGCTCTCACGTGATCTTCATTTCATAAGGTTCCTTGACTTCAAATAAAAAGTAACAAAAGAAAAATGAATAAATATAGAAAAAAGAATAAGAGAGGGAAAGTTTACATGTGGCCAGTTATGAATCTTAAGATTGTTATCGGAATTTTTAAAAATATAAAAGGTATACAAACTATAAAGAAGAAAATTGCTCAAGAGGTATAAAAGCTGTTTTCAATTTGAATTCCTATATGATATTATGTGACGTGATAAATAGATAATAATTAAATTATTTCTCATCATTAATACAGAATCTATTAATAAGCTTAAACAAAGTATACTTGATTATTATTCAGCACAGGTGATTACCTATCTGATCATTCAATACGATTAACATATTAACAAAATGCACTTACATAATATTATAATAATTATGTAAAGTAATGAGGGGGAAAACTAACATGAATTAAACTAACATGAGCAATCGAATAATGAAATAAAACTAAATTGCGAAAATAAACTATTTATTAAAAACTTTAAAAGAAAAAAAAACTTAGAGCATACTTGAACTTCTAAAATAGTTGGGAAAAGGAACTATGCGCTCTGAAGCTCGCATAAAAGCTAAAAATAATAAAAATAAAATGAAACCTTGAAGAATTCGACGATTGAATTCTAAGGTAAACACGTTATGCAAAATCGCTAATCCAACTGACAAGCAGACAAAATATTCCAGTTAGCAAGAGTTTCAGAGAGCAAGTGTTACAGCGCAGCAAATAACAAGAAAGAAAAGATTTCTTCTAACAAGTTATTGTTAAATTATTCATCTACGAATAAGCAAATAATTATATGAAAAGCTTGTGTGGCTTTTTTTAATAACTTCAGAACTATTTGCGCTATCGTCTTGAAATTTGGACAACGGCTGCAAAGAGTAAATATAATTCCTGAACCTAAAATTCGTTTGAAATGCTTGTTTATTCGGTAGAGTCGTTTGAAAAATGAAAATAGCCGTACAAACACTGGTGCGAATGATGATTCATTAGTTTTGGTAAAGAGTATTAACTGAAATAAGAAAAAGATACGTACTAAAAAAATCAAAATCAAAATGGGAAATGTTGCTATTTCGTTTAGGAGATGCGTAACGAAACGCTTTACTATTGTTGACACCAATGTTTAATTAATATTAGTAATGTGTAATAGTTAAAATAAAAAAATAAGTATCTGCTAAACAGTACAGTATGGGAGAAAACGAACTTTATAGTTCAGAGAAATCATCAAAAATCGCCATGATAGTATTGTCGTCAATGGTGCTCACTTAATTTTGGTTTTATGGTAATTGGCACGCTTGTAATATATACCAAGTATATTAATACAGGTACAAAGTATTATATAAGTGTATATTGAACCTATTAGAAGTGCATTAATACTGTATAGTTTTAATATAGATACTGGGGCAATAGGATTTATCGACCGCCAAATATCGGGGGAAATTGTTTGCTTGCAATTAATTTTGAAAATCAAAAGTTTGCCTCGAGAATCAGAATTATTCCATATAATATTGAATACACTTAAATCTTTATTTTGATGGGATGAATTTCTAAAGTCGTGTTTTGATTATTATAATAACATAAAGTTACTGAAGGGCACCAAATAATAATTAAAAGAAAAAGGAATTATTTCAGGTTCATTAATCGTGTCGGTATATATCTTTTAGTTTTGTGCTTGATTTTAATTAGTACTGATTTATTGATTATCTTATTTTTTCACCCGTGCACAGAACGGGTATTCAGAGGAAATATTTTATAAAAAAATTTTTTTTTGTATCTTCTTATGAATGAAAAAGCAACGATAAATGAGAAGTAACCACGGGAATAGGAGAGCGTTGCGATTTGGGGATTTAATTAATCATTTTAAAATAACGGTCAAAAATAGTAAATTACTAAAGAAGGAAAGAAGTCAGGTAACATATTTGCTACTCTTTTAAGAACAGTGAAATATGTGAAAAAATGTGTCAGTATTCTCCTTGAACCATTACATATGGCATCTTAAGCTGAACTAAATTACTGATATATTTCAAACGGAATGATGGAAGCAAGCTGTGCCTGCCGTTTGTGAAATACTAATTTATTTAAAATGATATATCATTCATTCAAGATAAGTTCATATACCTACATGACTTAATATTGATAAATATTCATGTTCAATTTACATACCTGAAATACCTGTATACAACTATTCCAAAAACATTCAAACGTCCTTTTGATTGCTCAATTGCTTGCCATGCTAGATAGCTAAGCAAAAAGGCACTAAAATATAATGGAAAAGTGTTAATCCCAATTGAAATTTACATATATTGTTCTACCACTTTATTTTTGAATTGAAATTAAATATTTTTTACTTAAGAAGTAAAGATTAAAAAGTATTTTTACAGATGCTATCTCTGCACTGATCCATCCAGATGTTGCAATAATAGCTCAGGAGTTGTATACAATTTTGAAGCGCTTTATATTTTTTACAAATTATACATTGAAACAATGGAATTGAAAATTACGAAACCTAACAATGTCGCAAACCTCGTGATTGTTATCTAATCTAATCTCTATTATCATCTCATGACCTGAAATTTGTTTNTAAATAATAACCAAATGAATACATGATCACGCTGTAATACAAATTTGTAATGAACGACAATTTAAATCACACAAACATTGGAAAGTTATTGGCATTCTTCTAACGCTTGTCGTTGTCACGTTAATTTGATAAATCAGCACCCTAATTACTCCTAATTACTCAATTCTGCGTGATTGCCATTTGCAGACTCATACATAAATTCGTATCTGATTTCTTTGCATTCGAATATTGCTGCGTATCTGGCTATAAATCGTGACACTACACCTAGTTTTTCAATAAACCAGTCTCCAGAATCTGCTGATGCCTCCGATGATTTTTATTCCTCATAAATAACTCTTTCTAACAAGAACAGCAGTTTTGAAGGCAGCAATTTTTAAAAAAAAATGTGTTTCTCGGCCTACCGTCTCGTTTACTCACGATTTCATTCAAGGCATCATAATTTTGAATTTGCATCACATTTTTCCAACCATTGTGGTAACAATTTTCAAGTTCTGATTCCCAAGAAGATTTCCAAATCGGACCCGAACTCAATATCGGCATGATTAGATAAAGTAGCGCTGTTGCAGCTATTTGAAGATTTAACCTGCAAAATAAATACAAATAAAATAAAATAAATAACTAAATAAAATATAAATATTTGTTTTATCAAACTTATTGAATTCAAAATTCAAATCCAGTGACACTTAATGAAAAAAAAAACATTTTTAAATGAAATTTCTAAAAATGTATAATTTTCTCACAATATTAAAGGAAAGTAAGCACCAACGCCACTGTTTTTTATGTGATTAGCTTTGTGTTACATTTTGTTTTGTTATGAAAAACTATAAGACTTCTAAACTTGAAATTACGTTGATTCGTTAAAAAATGAATAGGGTGCATGATAAAAAAAATTGACATTCGAGATACATCAACTAATAAACTGTTAAAATTGAGATAAAAAAGTTCAGGTTGGCTACTTTGCAGGCCACAGAAACCAAACTACTGAATTGAATTTTGATATCTTGAAAGAGATATTTTTATTTATGAACTTGAATTTTTTTCTATATTCTAATTTGTTTGGAAGTTGTTGCAGTTTTAAGTGCCATTTCGCGAACATTTTATACATTTTTTATTTGACGTTACATTTAGATTTTTTACACAAAATTGAAAAACTTAGAAACTTGAAATTGCAAAACTTTATAGAAAAATTCACATAGAAAATGTACAACAAAAATGTAATGTTCAATAATTATTAAATGTTAAACTTGTAGTAAAAAATATACCACGTGAACCTCTTTTCAGTCCTCAGAAAAGCCACAACAAAGTTAAAATTGGAGATGTGGAAAGGGCCATTTTCATTTATGAACTTAAGACGAGCTTTATTGAACTATTTGTTCTAAATTATATAATGTTATATTAGTACTGATTTGTTCAAAAGTTATCGCAATTTTTAGTGATATTCCTTCCTTTTGGAACTATGCGCTCTGAAGCTCGCATAAAAGCTAAAATAATAAAAATAAAATGAAACCTTGAAGAATTTGACGATTGAATTCTAAGGTAAACACGTTATGCGAAATCGCTAATCCAACTGACAAGCAGACAAAATATTCCAGTTAGCAAGAGTTTCAGAGAGCAAGTGTTACAGCGCAGCAAATAACAAGTAAGAAAAGATTTCCTCTAACAAGTTATTGTTAAATTATTCATCCATGGCTAAACAAATAATAATATGACAAGCTCGTGTGTTTTTTTTTAATAACTTCAGAACTATTTGCGCTATCGTCTTGAAATTTGGACAACGGCTGCAAAGAGCAAATTTCATTCCTGAACCTAAAATTCGTTTGAAATGCTTGTTTACTCGGTAGAGTCATTTGAAAAATGAAAATAGCCGTACAAACACTGGTGCGAATGATGATTCATTAGTTTTGGTAAAGAGTATTAACTGAAATAAGAAAAAGATACGTACTAAAGAAATCAAAATCAAAATGGGAAATGTTGCTATTTCGTTTAGGAGATGCGTAACGATACGCCTTACTATTGTTGACACCAATGTTTAATTAATATTTGTAATGTGTATTGATTAAAATAAAAAGATAAGTATCTGCTACACAGTACAGTAAGGGAGAAAACGAACTTTATCGTTCAGAGAAATCATTAAAAATCGCCATGATAGTATTGTCGTCAATGGTGCTCACTTAATTTTGGTTTTATAGTAATTGGCACGATTATAATATATACCAAGTATATTAATACAGGTACAAAGTATTATATAAGTGTACATTGAACCTATTAGAAGTGCATTAATACTGTATAGTTTTAATATAGATACTGTGGAAGTAGGATTTAACGACCGCTAAATATCGGGGGAAATTGTTTGATTGCGGTTTTGAAAACCAAATGTTTGCCATGAAAAACAGAATTATGCCAAATAATACTGAATACACTTAAATCTTTGTTTTGATGGGCTGAACTTCTAAAGTCTTGCTTTGATTATTATAATAACATAAAGTTGCTGAAGGGCACCAAATAATAATTAAAAGAAAAAGGAATTATTTCAGGTTCATTAATCGTGTCGGTATATATCTTTTAGTTTTGTGCTTGATTTTAATTAGTGCTGATTTATTGATTATCTTCTTTTTTCACCCGTACACAGAACGGGTATTCAAATGAAATATTTTATATTAAAAATTTTTTTTGTATCTTTTTATGAATGAAAAAGCAACGATAAATGAGAAGTAACCACGGGAATTGGAGAGCGTTGCGATTTGGGGATTTAATTAATCATTTTAAAATAACGGTCAAAAATAGTAAATTACTAAAGAAGGAAAGAAGTCAGGTAACATATTTGCTACTCTTTTAAGAACAGTGAAATATGTGAAAAAATGTGTCAGTATTCTCCTCGAACTAAATTACTGATGTATTTCAAACGGAATGATGGAAGCAAGCTGTGCCAGCCGTTTGCGAAATACTAATTTATTTAAAATGATATATCATTCATTCAAGATAAGTTCATATACCTACATGACTTAATATTGATAAATATTCATGTTCAATTTACATACCTGCAATACCTGTCTATAACTATTGCAAAAACATTCAAACGTCCTTTTGATTGCTCAATTGCTTGCCATGCTTGATAGCTAAGCAAAAAGGCACTAAAATATAATGGAAATGTGTTAATCCCAATTGAAATTTACATATATAGTTCTATCAGTTTATTTTTGAATTGAAATTAAATATTTTTTATTTAAGAAGTTAAGATTAAAAAGTATTTTTACAGATGCTATCTCTGCACTGATCCATCCAGATGTTGCAATAATAGCTCAGGAGTTGTATACAATTTTGAAGCGGTTTATATTTTCAACAAATTATACAGTGAAACAATGGAATTGAAAATTACGAAACCTAACAATGTCGCAAACCTCGTGATTGTTATCTAATCTAATCTCTATTATCATCTCATGACCTGAAATTTGTTTGAATTTTATATTCATATTTGTAAAAATAATATTGAATACATTGAAAAAATAATTTGACAGTAAATCAGACCAAATAATGTTTATCGTTAATGTTAAGCGTTTTTTGCTTATTCCGACTATAAGTAATTATTTTATTTAAAGGTTCGAATTCCGTGAAAATATTTAATCCTTTTATGTGCGACTAACGTTTTTTTTTTTACTTTGCCATATAAAAATATGTGATGCGTATTTGTTTTATTTTTTTAAGAAAAATGAAATATTAATTAATCGAAAAGTTTTCACGAAAATAATTGACCTTTGAAAAAAAAAACAACCAAAAATGAGAATAATCTATTTGTCAATATGATTAAGATAAAGAGACTTGATTTCAGACTTATCAATGCAATAAAATATCGCTTAAATTGAATAATGTTAAAGTCGATAAATTTTAAAGTAGATGTTTAAAGTCGGCTATTTCAGTTAAAATAGAAAATGAATGTTTTGGCCTTTTTCAATTTAATTAAAAATTCACAAATCTTCAATTTAATTAAAACCTTGATTAAATAAATTCAGTATGATGTAAAATGGTTTTCTTAAACAAATGAAAATATTTACAAGAAAGATGAAGAGAATAAGATTTTTGTAGATACTTCCTTAAGCAATACAATATCTAAAATTATATAACACACAAGCATATACTATCTAACATTTATTATACTTAATTTTAAAGCATCACTATTTAAAACTTGGATATCCATGTATTTCGACGGATGTGGTACTAAGGTCTGGGGATGAATCTATCGGTATAGATTGGAACCCTTATTTAAACCTTGTGGTAATCTCAATACCGACAATTATTGCACAATTTTGTTCGACAGTGTGTTCGTTAACTTTGCTGGTTTTGCCAATGTTTCTTCCATAACGATAACGCTAGCTGCCATTTTACAAAGTACAACATGGATTGGTAAGGTGATAACGGGATTAACTAAATAAACTGGCCTGTTAAGAGTCTCAATACTTAAGGGCACTCAGATTGTCTTTCCAAAAAGAACTTTTTTTAAATGGTTTATTACAAAAAAACCTTTCCTTAATTGTCTTCGTTCTGTACTTTGGTTCAGCAGAAAATTGTTCTCTGATGCTTATGAATTTGATTGTCCTTTTGCGCTGAAATGTTGAGGTTGTAATCGTCTCTAGTGGAGACACACCCATACAATGTAAGTGAATCAATTATTCCTTTACAGTTGATTAAACTCTTGTTGCAAGATAGTGCACACAGAATGTCCGAAAAGTATGGAAACGGTTTAAATATTTCGAGAAATACGCAATATGAGTGTCATACATTTTCCAAAGCTCTATTCAATGATATTGAACTTAACGCACAATCTCACTCCCTAGATGTTGTGTGGGTTGCAATTTTGGAATTTTGAGTAAAAATTACTGCTTTTTTAATTGCAGATTTGGATTTTCCAGAAGAAAATACTTACACTTAACTTAAATGTTTGTATGACGATACCATTGCCAGAAATAAAAATGAGGTGCAAATCGCTTGGGAAATGCATGAAAGAAAGAGATGGGTATATTTTTTTTTAAAAAAATGACTAATGACTCCTGCAGAAGTGAAGCGTAGTTAAATGTTGTAAATTAGCTTTGCTTTCTTATATTAATTCACTTGAAATTGGTACGATTTTAATGATGTTACTCGTCTGTAGGTCTGATCTGACTCGAATTTCTTGAAATAGCTGTTTTTAACAATTAGTAACAAATTTCTTTTATTGTTTTGTTGATTGTAGATAGACCTGTGGATCAAAATACAAACACTTATAAGTCAACTTAAGGTATTTTTACTGGAAAATCTAAATTTACAAAAATTTTTTTTAAATTTAATCTTTTGAAGTTGCATCCTCTCTTCCTCTACAGCTTAAATTTGCAAGTTCGGGTTTAGCATCATAGTATACATCTTTCTAAAATATTTGCCGCATACATTTTTTGATTTTTGATCCAATATTTCTGGAAATATTAGACTAAGTCCATACTTTTCGGACACCCAGTATAATAATAAGTAAATACTAATTGAAATGCAAGAAGGGATAACAATATAGTAAAGAATACCATACATGCTATGTACCTGAGAGCAAAGAAGCAATCCACAAAAATTACCCCATTATTTTCCACAATGGGATCCAAAACTTCATATATAAAATGAAAATTCTCTATGAAAACAAAAATAAATTATTTTTGAAATAATATTACACAGATATTTTGAAAAGAACATGTTTGATTCAGCATTGATCATAGGAAAATGATAAAGTACAGTATTAAAACTTATTCTAAAACCATTTTTGCAGCTATGTTTTTAAAACTTCTCATATCCCATCATTTTATTTCTTTTATTATTAATTTGTTCTTAACTACCTTCTAACACTGTAAAAAAAGCAATTTGAACGATATTTATGATATATAAAAGGAATAGGGGCGAAATCGCGTAAAATAAAAAGGCAAATAATTGATAAAGGAATGTGACAGATTTGTAATTCTTGTATTAAAATTTTTTCGCACTTTTTACTTATTTGCATGTTTGCTCATTAAACAAAGTCATGTGGTGCTACTAATTCTACTTTTTTTAATTTTTAGTCCGACTTCAAATTATCTCGTAATTACCTTTTTTGTTTATAATAATAATAAATCTTTTTCAAGGCTATTAGAAACTGTATGCATTTAGTTGTCGTCCTCATTGCCTATTTATAATTTAACTATATATTTATTATTGCTTATACGTATATTGTCAATGCATTTCATTGTATTTATAAGTTTATAAGAAAGCCTTTTCGTAGGTCATCATTCAAATTCTTATTTAATTTCATAAGACTTGGTGAATTGGCGCTTATTCCAAATCTTCCATTTCTTTACGTCCCCACACAATTCAGAATAATTATTATTTGTAAACTGTTTTAAATCCCTCTGAATTGGTATTGATTAGACTCCTTCACATTAGTTCTTCTATAAACTGTTTCCCTGTACTGACACAAATACATAATTTTTTTATTACTTATTGCCTTCAGATTTATCAAAGTACATTTTGAAAAGACAACCATCATTTATAAAAGAAAACATTTTTACGCACAGCTTTACAAAAGCTTATTAGTTGCTGTGAAAAGTTTCCGTAATCTTAATCATAATTCTCGAAAATACTGACTATTGGCACTAATATTCTTTACAATCATAGGTGTAACCTAAGTTATGTCTGTAGAAGTAGTAAATGACGAGTTGCGAGGGATTTATTTATTAAAAAGGGTTATTATTGATTTGTACTTATTTACGTTTTTGGTACTACTACTTTGTAACTATAAAGACAAGTTAAGCATTGAATTCAAAATATTTTTTAAGTTAAATCAAATTTGGGTAAATAGGACAAATAACTTAGAAGAAAAGTATAAATAAGTGCAAGTCAGAAAAAAGGGTATTTATAACACACAATAAGTTTTGTAATTTATGAACTATTCATCACATTGAAACGTGTTTGGGTTCCTTCTATTCAACGTAAAGAATGCATTGCAAACAATACTATATTTATTAAGATAGAAACTTCAAGTGTGTATATAAGCACAAGTCAAGCATTGAACGTTTTGTAAGTACTTATAGTTTTTATACCATTATAACTTTGAAATTATTCATTCTACCCTCGTACTTAATCTCATTCTATTTAGCGTAAAAATATATCTATTTTACTATATTTGTGTTGTTATCACTATTTAATTTTTATTTGACCTTTTTTTTTATTATTCTTCTTAAACCTATATGCGAAGTTTTGCAACTTTTCACCTTTACTTCGGTAGAAATTTTTTTTCTGATTGTCAAGTGTAAACCATATCTTTAGTGTACGTTATAAAATAATAATAGTTGTTTTTGAAACTTATTTTGAATTAAACTTTCCTATGACTTAAGTCATGACGTCTTTCCGAATTTGAAAATCGAAAGTTAACCTCTTCCTCAGCCAAACTGTTGAAAGTGAAATTTTTTTTTAGTTTAATAGTTCTTAGAAGATTTATAAGCACGTTTTTAAAATTTTTTTTTAGTAAAATAATCAATTTTAGACTTTGTTACCCAGTTTTTTTTTAAAAATATCGAAATATGTATAAATGCTAGGACATATCAAAAACTTTAACTGATTACTGATTTTGCTTTGTACGTTTTACTATGTTCAAACTCTCAACCATCTATTGTTTTTTTTTTATACAGAAAATTTTCATAATATAAAGCCTTTTCTAAAAAATTCTTTTGAACTGACGTAAATATTAATTCCTCTCCCCCATTATTTTCAACAACATAAGTTTAATATTTTTTTTCTTAGGATGGATTTGAAAAATGAACAATAATGTTCTTACTATAACGTATTTCTTTCCCTGGAGTCGGAAATAGAATAAGATGTGCCCACAAGATGAAGAAAGATAAAATCACCCGAAATCCTTGAGTGTAATTCAGAGACACTTGTTTGGAATTCTCTGTGAATAACTTTTCTGTATTAGTATAAAGAGAGAAAGCTTTCAGCAATCGCTTAGTAAAGCCTGTAAAAGAAGAATAAAAGTTCATTGTACAAACATGTAAAAAGTACATAGAAAGTAAGTAACAAATAGATTAATATTTAATTATCATGAACTTAAGCAAGAAACGAGGATCAGTTATTTCTAGTATAGTATATATTGTTTAAATATATTCGTAAGTATGAATTTTTAAATATATTCGTTGTTTAAATATATTCGTGTTGTTTAAATATATATCTCTTTTTATTCAACTTTATGTTCAACTTCACATTTTGTTTTGTTGAGTGAAAAATAAGTGACTTATGAAAAAAAATTTATATAAGAATTAATTAGATAATTAATAACCGTTTAGTTTAAAATTAAATAATTAGAGCTATTATACAGTCCACAGAAATATTAATTAAGAGTTGAAATTTAACTTGCTGAAAGGGTAATTGTTTTATAAAATAAGCCTGAGATTTATTTTAAAATTCTAATTTCTTTGAAAACTATTGAGTTTTTAAGTGTTTTTTCCGCAAATAATTTGTCAGTTTTTTGTTGTAACTTTGTGTTACATTTGGGTTTGCTACGCAAGAATTATAAAACTTGGAAATTGAAAATTACTAGGAGGAAAAATGTATAGGGAGTAGGATGGAGTAAAAAAAAATAACATTTCATAATTAGTTTCAGAATTTTAAATTTGTGTAATAAAGAAATACTCGGAGAACTCTGTGCAGCCCACAGATTTGAAATTTGTGTGGTGAAAAGGCCATTTTGATTTGTGAACTAGTGAGTTTTTTTTTTCAAGTTAAAATTTATCTTAAATTTATTAAAATTTTGAGGGCTCTTTTAGCAAATCTTTCAAACCTTTATTGCAAATTGTGTTATTTATTCTTGTTTTTAATGAATTTATTGAGAAATTTTCATGCTTTTTCCTAATTATTATCTAAAAATTCATGTATTAGACCATTAGAATCTTTTCTTAATACACTATAAACTGTTTATATTGATAGTTCACAATATTTTACAGAAAAAACATTAAAGTAAAAACTTACTTTCATCTGGATATTTCCTTTTACTCTCTTTCATTTTACGGTCACTTAAATCTAATATTGTACCACACATGCAAACAAATAACACTGTCCCAAAAAATATCCTAAGAAAAATATTACGTTTAATAAGGAATGAAATTTTTCTTCTATGATAAAATATGAGCATAATTAGTTTACGAAATACAGGCCCGAATATAAATTTCAGTTATATATTAATTTAAACATATGAATGATTATAGTACATATCAATCAAATAAGGGACATTGAAAAAATACATATGCATCAAGACTTTTATTAACCTTTCAACCTGTTCTTTTAAGACTGTTCTCTCCATATAAATCTTCAGTCTTCAAAGCGAGTGGTTTTTAAAAAAACAAAAAATAAAAACGAACATGAATAGAGGTATTAAATATTACTTTATTTAATAAATTATTTATATAGTGAAATTCAAAAATATTTAAGCGTTTTCAAATAAAACTGATTTTCATTTTCCCCCTCCCTTTTTAGTGATATTCATTCAGTGACTCCTTTCATTTTGCGATATTTCTGATTGAAAATTCACATGCCCCGAACATATTGAGCAATATAATTTTACAACAGCCTAAAATGCATTACATTATGCTTACATATCCTTACTATATTATATCCAGTTTGGATAACTCACATTGTAAAGAATTTTGAATGTCGATCGCCTCAAATACATTTTTCTATTCTTCAGAAAATATGTATTAAAGAAATGTATGAAAGTCTGTCATAAAAATATTTCTTTAAAGCTATTACAATTATCCAATTACATATTTTAAAAGCACTATTATTATACTTTCGTCATAAATTATTAGACAATAGTTTAAAGTTTGCTTACAAATCTACTTTAAAAATAAGAATATTTTTGCGAATTTTCACTAGGGTCCCTCCTTCAATATTTTGCTTTACTTTTTCTTGGATCTTATTTTATCATTAGTAATCTTTCTAAGGACTAGTTTGAAAAAAACACGTGCTGATCATCGAAATGATTTTAAAAAACAGATAACGGCTTAGAAAAGCTCATAATGATAAAAGTGATAATCAATTTGTTAAGTTAAAATACAATCAAGTATCTTCAAAATATAATACATAAATCAATTAAAATAGTATGTTTGACTTAACAAATTTTAAAAATCAATCTAGATTTCTTCTACTGTTCTACTTTTGTATATTAATAAGACATTCTTGGGCCAGAAATTTCTACATCTGGGTACAAATCGAAAGATCTATTGCCTTGATTTTCTGCTGTAATTGGACAGAAAGAAAAACAAAGATAGAGAAACATGCATGTTAAAAAAATCATTACCACCATAAATAACTTTTGATCTAAAGATTGGATATTCACGATCGGTCGAGAAATTCCTGAAAAATCAAATTTTAAACATAGAACTTTTTCAAAATTTGATTACTCAGAAACTATTTGTCTGATTTCGCTCAAATTTTGTATTTTACCATGTAAAATTATACTCTTCAAAATGATGCAAAAACTTGTACATCTTACAGATCAAATTTTTTTCGACCATTAATAAAAAATAATTAAAAATTATGAATATTTAGGAATGAATTTTATAACTGTAGGCAAAATTTTCAATTCGCTTAAAAAGCTCTTGAGATATAGCGAAATACGCAAAAAGTAAAATTACCATTAAGGGATCCAAATTTTGGACCACTTTCCTGATTTTCCACAGTGTGATTACCCCTATACTTTGGGAGTCATAAATTCAAATTCGCAAAATTTTTTTGTTATTCATAGAAAGAGCTCTTGTGTGTCTGATTTTTGTAGCTTAAAATATCGTCTGCACTAATTGTCATATCTGAAATCACCCTATCAAGGTATGGAATTGATGCTATCGTCCCAATACGTACATGGTATGCAATATCGTATATGTCAAATCATCTACAGTGCGCAAAATGAAAAATGGACTACCCTAAATTACATTTGTTCTAATGATTAGGTTTTCACGTTCTATGACTCGTTCACGGGAAGCAAGACGTTTTCGATGTCGAAAAAATGATTTTTTCAACCTTATCGACAAGCCATTTTTTCTTAATATTAAATACATTTTAAAACTTTAAACTTTACATTTATGACATCTACATATTAATATAATTCAATAACAATAAAAAGGAATTTAAAATGCTTATAAATTTAATTTTTATAAATATTTGAAAATTTAATGTAAATATAATTTTTTTTTAACCAGACATAGCTTTCGGTACGCTCAAAAAATTTTCTACATGAAATATGAACAAAAAATTGGCATACACTCANTTTTTATATAAGAATTAATTAGATAATTAATAACCGTTTAGTTTAAAATTAAATAATTAGAGCTATTATACAGTCCACAGAAATATTAATTAAGAGTTGAAATTTAACTTGCTGAAAGGGTAATTGTTTTATAAAATAAGCCTGAGATTTATTTTAAAATTCTAATTTCTTTGAAAACTATTGAGTTTTTAAGTGTTTTTTCCGCAAATAATTTGTCAGTTTTTTGTTGTAACTTTGTGTTACATTTGGGTTTGCTACGCAAGAATTATAAAACTTGGAAATTGAAAATTACTAGGAGGAAAAATGTATAGGGAGTAGGGTGGAGTAAAAAAAAATAACATTTCATAATTAGTTTCAGAATTTTAAATTTGTGTAATAAAGAAATACTCGGAGAACTCTGTGCAGCCCACAGATTTGAAATTTGTGTGGTGAAAAGGCCATTTTGATTTGTGAACTAGTGATTTTTTTTTTCAAGTTAAAATTTATCTTAAATTTATTAAAATTTTGAGGGCTCTTTTAGCAAATCTTTCAAACCTTTATTGCAAATTGTGTTATTTATTCTTGTTTTTAATGAATTTATTGAGAAATTTTCATGCTTTTTCCTAATTATTATCTAAAAATTCATGTATTAGACCATTAGAATCTTTTCTTAATACACTATAAACTGTTTATATTGATAGTTCACAATATTTTACAGAAAAAACATTAAAGTAAAAACTTACTTTCATCTGGATATTTCCTTTTACTCTCTTTCATTTTACGGTCACTTAAATCTAATATTGTACCACACATGCAAGCAAATAACACTGTCCCAAAAAATATCCTAAGAAAAGTATTACGTTTAATAAGGAATGAAATTTTTCTTCTATGATAAAATATGAGCATAATTAGTTTACGAAATACAGGCCCGAACATAAATTTCAATTATATATTAATGAAAACATATGAATGATTATAGTATATATCAATCAAATAAAGGACATTGAAAAAATACATATGCATCAAGACTTTTATTAACCCTTCAACCTGTTCTTTTAAGACTGTTCTTTCCATATAAATCTTCAGTCTTCAAAGCGAGTGATTTTTAAAAAAACAAAAAATAAAAACGAACATGAATAGAGGTAATAAATATTACTTTATTTAATAAATTATTTATATAGTGAAATTCAAAAATATTTAAGCGTTTTCAAATAAAACTGAATTTCATTTCCCCCCTCCCTTTTTAGTGACATTTTTTTCATTTTGCGATATTTCTGATTGAAAATTCACATGCCCCGAACATATTAAGCAATATAATTTTACAACAGCCTAAAATGCATTACATTATGCTTACATATCCTTACTATTATATCCAGTTTGGATAACTCACATTGTAAGGAATTTTGAATGTCTTTCGCTTCAAATACATTTTTCTATTCTTCAGAAAATATGCATTAAAGAAATATATGAAAGTCTGTCATAAAAATATTTCCTTAAAATTATGAAAATTATCGAATTACATATTTTAAAGGCACTATTATTATACTTTCGTCATAAATTATTAGACAATAGTTTAAAGTTTGCTTACAAATCTACTTTAAAAATAAGAATATTTTTGCGAATTTTCACTAGGGTCCCTCCTTCAATATTATGTTTTACTTTTTCTTAGTTCTTATTTTATCATTAGTAATCTTTCTAAGGACTAGTTTGAAAAAAACACGTATTGATCATCGAAATGATTTTAAAAAACAGATAACGGCTTAGAAAAGCTCATAATGATAAAAGTGATAGTCAATTTGTTAACTTAAAATACAATCAAGTATCTTCAAAATATAATACATAAATCAATTTAAATAGTATATTTGACTTAACAAATTTTAAAAATCAATCTAGTTTTCTTCAACTGTTCTACTTTTGTAAATTAATAAGACATTCTTGGGCTAGAAATTTCTACATCTGGGTACAAATCGAAAGATCTATTGCCTTGATTTTCTGCTGTAATTGGACAGAAAGAAAAACAAAGATAGAGAAACATGCATGTTAAAAAAATCATTACCACCACAAATAACTTTTGATCTAAAGATTGGATTTTCACGATCGGTCGAGAAATTCCTGAAAAATCAAATTTTAAACATAGAACTTTTTCAAAATTTGATTACTCAGAAACTATTTGTCTGATTTTGCTCAAATTTTGTATTTTACCATGTAAAATTATACTCTTCAAAATGATGCAAAAACTTGTACACCTTACAGATCAAATTTTTTTCGACCATTAATAAAAAATAATTAAAAATTATGAGTATTTAGGAATGAATTTTATAACTGTAGGCAAAATTTTCAATTCGCTTAAAAAGCTCTTGAGATATAGCGAAATACGCAAAAAGTAAAATTACCATTAAGGGATCCAAACTTTGGTCCACTTTCCTGATTTTCCACAGTGTGATTACCCCTATACTTTGGGAGTCATAAATTCAAATTCGCAAAAATTTTTTGTTATTCATAGAAAGAGCACTTGTGTGTCTGATTATTGTAGCTTAAAATATCGTCTGCACTAGTTAATTGGCATATCTGAAATCACCCTATCGCACCATTAAGAACGAGTCATAGAACGTGAAAACCCAATCATTAGAACAAATGTAATTTAGGGTAGTCCATTTTTCATTTTGCGCACTGTAGATGATTTGACATATACGATATTGCATACCATCTACGTATTGGGACGATAGCATCAATTCCATACGTTGATTGCACTGTTCAATTCTTCCATACACTGAATGGGCCTACCATTGAAATGGGGAATGAGATTTTAAAAAAAATAGATCATTCCATGACATTCACTCTATCATTATAAAGCTATCTCAGTAGATGTTTTACAATGAGAAGGGAATCGTTGCCCTCGTTTAAAATCAAAACTAGATCCACCAAATTCTCTGAGCAAATGTTAGAAAAATTGTTTGTAGCCTTTTCTGGTCATTGACAGGCTTCAAACGTGCTGGAGGAAATACCACATGAAGTTTTCCCCAATAGTCAAATTCTCCTCGCATTATTAATGGTCCTTTGCATTGCTGTCCATTGGAGAATATTTCTTTAGTTCTCTTCTATTGTTTTGCTTTTCATAACCTACAAACTATTTGCAATATGAAGGTAGGGAAAAGTAGTCCGCGTTTAAAGCTACCCGCAATCAAAAGAAAGCAATCGGGATGGAACAGACGAGTTTGCGTTCTTGATTGGCAAAATATGAGAAAATAAGAGGATTTCTTAATTAGCTTTTCCTACTGATTACATATAGGTAATCAAATGATAAACGATACAAGAAGTCCATTTACTGCTATCTGCACTGATAATTCTTGGTCTCAGTTGTATTGCCTGTTATAATTTTCACAAGTACGATTTTTTGGATAATAAGATGCATGTCATGGAATGATCCACTTTTTCCCCGGATCTCAATCCACGAGAAGGTATGATAGGTATCCTCAGCAGCAGAGCTGTAGCCAGGAATGTTTTTCGGCGTAGGAGGTTTAAGGTAGAACTAAATCTATTATTATAAGTATTTATTAATTTAAAAATCGTAAAATTAAAACAACCAATGTAACACAATTGTTAAGTACTATTTAATATAATTAGTTATAAATAAAAGAACCAATATTTGTAATTAAAAATTAATTTATTTTAAGTGAAAATGAATTTACTTATACTGAAAATAACTTTAATGCACCTGCAATGTTAAGACATAATAGACCTGAAATGTAAAGTTTTATAAATCCTCATTTCAATTTTAAAAGCTCTCGTAACTTCAGTAGCTCAATCAATTAACAAACTACAATTCTTTAAACAAAAATCATCAGATTGATACTCTGTTTTAAAACCACTCTTTGCTAAAATTTAAATATAGTCGCAACAAATGTGAAAGTAACAAATTTAAGTACTGAAATTTTATTATATAAAGATTTCTATTTTATTACCCCCTCTAATCAAAGTAGATGTAAAAAATATAATAGAACAGAAATATAACTGAAACAAAAAATATAACAGAATGGGGAAAATACAACAGAGCAAAAGAGCTGCTCAATTTTTATATTATTTCGCTTATTTATTATTATTTTTAGTATTTAAATGTTTTTATTTATTTAGAAAATAAGAATTAATATTAAAACATTCTGTTAACGCAATAAATGAGGTAAAAAACGAACTTAGGAATAGTGTTTCCATTTCGGGAGGAGAGATTGAATCCCTAAAAACCCTTACTCAATAGTACTGTATATGCCACAGACAGGCAGTTTCAATTTGCAGCAGAAATGAATTAAAAACAGTATTCCTATCCAAATTTGACTAATCACGATTAAGGAAGACTGTTGAAGGCTGCTGTTGTTGTGGTAGTAAGCATGTTTCGTTGTTTCAAACATGTTTGATCATCGGAATAAATAGAGAAAGGCTCAGAGACAGCTATCAGAAACACTTTGAAGTTTTAACCAGCAATCGAAAATGTCATTATGTTTCATACAACCAACTTTCTGAAATGTGATTTTTCAGATATCAGTAGCGGCTTTTGTTTATTTTCGCATGCATAATTTCAAATCTTTAATGAGAATACTCTTTGTCGTCATTTTAGACAAGGTTTATTTTAAAATATAGGATTTTCACTGAATACTCCGTATTTTATTCTTAAAAACAACAAATTAGCCACATTAACGTAAAAAAATTTGAACACTTGCATCCTATTTTTATCAAAATATTCTACTTACATACAAAGTATTGCTGAAATAGGTACTTTTAGAGGTTCCTCCATTTGGCAGTCTGTGAGAATTGCATTTAAATCCAATGGTTCCACAACTGAGAAAATTAACTGCATGTTAATTATAATTTAGGAAATAGCATCTAAAAGAGAAATCTAACTAGTTTTTAACAACTATCTGAAGTTCTTGTCTTATCTTTGTCAATAACACATAACATTACTTAAATAGTCAGTATTCCACAATTGACAAAATTAACTGCAAGTTAATTATAGTAGCATGAAGCAGAAAATCTATCTTTTTTTTATAACTGTATGAACTTCTTGTTTCAGTCAGCAATTGGAAAATTAATTGCATGTTAATCATAGTGAAATATAAATATTGTAGAAAAAGCTTACTCTTTGTGAGTAACAAATTATTTTTACAAGGGGTAAAGGGATCATGTTTTCTGCCACTCATTCCGATAATTACTTTGCAATAATTGCTACTCCTTTTGCATGAAACAGTTGAAATTAT